CTCCAATCAACTGAGATCGAGTCATGCTCAAGCACAGTTGATTTAGAGGGTAGTTTGAAGAAAGAGGCAAGGAATGATGCTGTAGTCATTGAGTCTAATACACCAGGCGACTTGGAATATAGTAATAGGCAGATAACCATTGATGACAATCCACCTATTAATAAATATACTGACGAGAAAACACCTATTGACAAACATACTGACGAGAAAATACCTACTAATAAATGTACTGACAAGGAAACATTGATAGGTACATCTGACACTGAGAAATATATGCAGGATGATGACCAGAAACAAAAACGGAATAACATCACCATTACAACCCTATGCAAATCCTAACCATACTTATCACAGAATCAAGGGATCAACAAAAACCAACAACGTTCACAAACTAGAGATACAGTATCATTACCTGCGAAAAAGTGCAAAGCCGGCTCAAATATTAAAACAAAGAAGAGCAGAAATCTCACTTAAACCATACTTGGACCCGTGCGAACCATGATCTTAAACAACAAAAGCACTTACCCTCTCACTTACGAAAAAATATGCCTATTACTCGACATGACTCAGGGAGAAAATGAATCAAACACTACTGATATCATGTCTCAGTTTACAAACAATGTAAACGGTCTGAAAAGAATGCTCTCAGATATCAGAGACACAGTATCACATAGAGGGCTAAAAATCAGAACCTCAAAACTAATAAAGATTTTGAATTAGCACTCCTTGAACACTACCGAGCATTTAAGAATAACACATGGTGATAATAATAATCTGAGAAATAAGAAACACTTTTCCAATCAAAATGAAAACAATCATTCAATGGAATTGTAACAGATTTTTCCGACATTTAGAGCACCTAAAAATGACAATAAGCGAAAAGAACCCTATACTAATTTGTCTCCAAGAAACACACAAGAAACTCAAACAGTGAGATACAAAGATTACGATATATACCGAAAAGCAAAAGATCGTCATGGGAAGACTTCGTACCTTCATTACATCAAAGCATTTCAATGAAGGAGTTCTGGAATAAAGTGAAAAGCATTAAGGGGATCTCTAAAACAAAGAAATTGCCTGGTATAAAGAGTGGACAAGACATTATAACTGACCCTGACGAAATCGTTAACGAAAGTGATAAAACTCTGCAACAGAGTGTAATTTAAAGGCGTTGCCAATGACCCAAAGGCAAGCACAGAAAAGAGGCAACAAAATACCAAATAAATAATTAATTAGTAAAGTATTAAGAACGAAGAAGAAAAATCATAATCTAAAAACTATTTATGATTAATCCTAATTATTTTATCACCAAAACATCATTATAAAACATTAAGACTCAATGAAGGGTTTGACGGATCACTTTAAAGTCATAATAATTTCAAATATTAATTTTTAAATAATACATTTCGTTATAGTTCTTGTTTAGTTTAGTATTTTTTAGTTTATATACATTTATGTTTAGTATTATTTTTTGCTGTTTATTACTTTTATTTATTATGTATAGTATGAATGAGATACACACTATTAACATTGTCCTTGAATGTGACAGGTTGTAATATATCTCAATAAAGAATTATAAAAAAAAATCTTTTTTTTATTGGATAATTGATGATTAATTCAATTTTGTTCGTTGTGAACAGTGTAGTGCTGAATCAATTGTTACTCCTGATGAGAAAAGCTTGTATACGACCAGACAGTGGAGCGTCACAATTTTCTGAACGAAATTTGGCTAACCATTTTGGCAAGTTAACGTCCTTATAAACACTGTTGGCTAAATTTGTTGATGACTCGGCAATATTAACATCGAATAAGAATGCAGCAAAGGCTTCTCAGGTACTTCAAGAACACCTAGACGACATAGCTTGTTGGGCTAAAAGGTGGAGAATAAAAATGAACGAGTCTAAGAGCCAATTTTTTTCATTTTCACTTAAACATGACTCTTGTCCTCCAGTGTTCTTTAATAATATCGCTCTACTACCTTCAAAAACTGTACGATATTTGGCTCACCACTTGGACAAACGACTGACATGGACATACCACATAAAACAAAAAAGAAAAGAACTTCAGCGATACGGACTTCTTTCTGGGCTACTTGACAGACGTTCTAAATTATCTGTGACTAATAAATTAACTATTTGCAAAGTCCTCATCAAACGACATTGGACATATGGAATCGAACTATGGGGAACAGCAAAGAAATCAAATATAAAAATCATCCAGTCATTCCAGTCAAAAGACATTCGGAAAATTGTAGACGCACCCTTTTATGTTTCAAATCTCACGTTACACACTGAACTTAACACTCCTTTCATCACGACAACTGCCACTGACAGCTTTAATAATTTTCATGACAGACTGACTCTAAATTCAAACCCACTTACTCAGGCTCTATCGACTGTCACAAATCCATCCGCCCTGAAGACTGCTGAGGCGCTGGCCAAGAGACTTACTGCATTGAGCTGCTTGCTGTACTATCTTTTTTTTCGTGTGTTATTTTACTACTTTTTTTTTATGCTATCATTTGTTCTCCTTAATATCATATTTTCTGAATACCGATGGCAAATGTTGGTAGATGGCAAATTGATTCTAAGCCAGGAATATGTATAACTAATAAATAAATAAATAATAAACACTGCAATTTTCTTTTATGAGCTACTGTAGCACAATTATATTATATTCGTTAAATATACCGATAACGAATAATATTTTCTTCCATATTCACAATGGTTGTTGATATATTATAAATAAGAAGAAAATTCCACCTTAAGGATTAATTCGGCAAATAAGAAATGTATAGTAGTGATATCAAAATAAAGGTAAAAAGCGAAAGGACTTATTTGGGATATGCAATCTCAAATTAAGTAAGACAAGAGAAAATAAGAAGGTATTGAGAGCGCGGAACATGGTGTAGCTCGGAGGAGGATGTTGCGGATCTAGGGAGGATCAGAGGTACCCCAGGGGAGGATGCAGGGCCCCTTCTTTCCTAGGCTTTACAGCGCTGACAGCGAGTCACGGCCTCCATGATAACTTCCTCTTCTTACTGCCGTCTGTCACCTTTGTTTCACCCTTCTTCTGGCTTCTCTCTTCTCTTTTACATAGTATCACTGTTCAGTACAACTCTCTAAACTGTCCCATTCCGATCGAATGACTAAATGTCCGTTCTTACTTGTTCAACGTTGATTTCTTACATTTATATTTTTACTCAAAATTACAAGGAATTTCTATTAAAAAGAAAATTAAAATATTGAAAGAATACTTAGATATATTATACATGCAGTATTATATTTAGATTCCAATTTGTCAAGAAACTAAAGGCTAAAGTAATTTTTTTTAAAATTACGTTGTGTGCTTTAGACTACACGATAGAATTAACATGAAATATTAATTTTTCTTTGTTCTATATTCACAAATAAAATTTACAATAAAAAATAATTAAAAGAAAGAAAAATAAAAAGTGAATTTTATTCTAGGACATTCAATCCCCTCAGAATAACTATAATGAACAACGTAATGAAAATTTTCTGGCATTAGAGTACAATTAAAATAAATTAGTTAACAATGTTGTCTAATCCTAATATTAAAATAAAGAAAAGACACTGTATTAGATATATGATCTTGAAGTACATATATGAGTTTGAAGATAAATACATAAGAGTGAGTCCACGTATTTGTACAAATAAGCAGTATGGCATATACATAGATATCCGCAAGAGATCAGTAAAATGTAGCTGACATCTCTAAAGTACAAAATAGCTCTATTTTACACATATTCCGAAGATTGATTTGGAGGAGATGGAAAAATAAATGAGGTCAAGGGTGAGGATTGCAGTATAGAGGAAGGTAGGGGATTCCAAAACGAGGTAGGACGGATGACGAAGGATTTTTTTAAAGGAAACAGTTCTATAAGAAGGAATAAACAGATTTGAGGGTTGGGATCACGCGTTGAACGAATGAACAGAGAAACAAGGAATAAGGAAATCAAGAACGTAAGGTTTTTTGTTAAATGGTTTGGAAAAGGAATACACCTAGGAAATATTGCCGTCGCAAAATTGGATAGAGCTACTTCAACTCGTTACAAACATTTACGGGATATAAAGATAATTTGAATAAATATTTTCAACTCTTAATAAGAGACAAATAACTGATTTTTTCAATTAAATCTCCTCTTAATGGATAAATGAGTTCTGAACAAATTTCTTTGGCTTTCATCAGCTTAATATGCATTTAATTGGTAATATAAAAATTAGCTGCCCTACTCGTTGAGACTTATCTCTCTCGATGGTAGGTATCAAACTGCAACGACATGAAAAAATTGCTAGCTCGTATTGGCTTTTTTAAGAGGAAGGACAAGTTTTTTGTTTCCACATTCAAAAACCTATTTGCGTTACTAGCGAAAAAGGGATCTTTGCTAATATTAATAAGTATAACAGTTTTAAGATGTTAAGAACTTATTTAGTATTTAGATTTGTATTTACTTTTTCCAAGAAAGTTCAATAGTTGAATCAGGTGAGTATCAACAACATTGCATTTATTATTTGTCTTGTTCGTGGCTAAGATCATGAGTTTGTTCGAAATTTCTTACAAAGAGTTGTGTGAGGTTTTAATAAACCAGGAAAGTTCTATAGCAACAGAAGACGTGGGAGCGCTTTGGGACCCCACGAATATATCTAATAAAACAATTCATTAGTCTCTTTAATCTGATCTGAAGCCCGTCAGACAGTCCACCGTATACAAGGTAGTCATAATCGAAGTGAGGAAAGATAACAGAGAAAACTAGGAGTGGACTAATTTTAAGGCACGATTGTAGTTGTGTGTAAAGTATTTTTTGTATCGTTACCGGCAGCCATAAAATCTACACTTATTTTTGTTTTAAGTCATACTGTATGTCTGGATCTGTAAAGATCATAATATAGGAGACCATCGCATGGTACACACCTGGATTTTCTCGTGCTAAGATGTACATGTAGGCGTTGTAATTTAGATTTATATAATCAATATAATTATAAGTAATAATTAGATGAAATATTCACTGGAGCTTCCTTACCTTTGCCGTGCCCGAAAACATCTGCATTGAAGTTGTCCTGACCGAGATGGCCGTCTATTAGCTGCCCCAGACCTCCGGACAACCAGCCGCCTTCTTCGCTGCCGTCGTAACTGTTGTCACGGAGGTCTGGGGAGTCTTCTTCCGAGGAGCGTTCTCCCTGCGGCATCGAATACGACACCACGCCCTCTGAAAGAAACAAAATAAAATATTTTATTGAAAACAATATAAAATATAAGAAACAACACGAAAAATTGTAAAAACCACATATGTAATTCTCATTGTAATATATTATTCTATGTTATAATGATTCTGTTTGGAATATTATTTTCAGATGAATCTGAAAACAATTAGCTGAAGAAATTAAAGTTGGGTTTAAGTGAACTCGATGGTTCATAAAGGGAGATATCAACAATTGCTGTCCACATAATTGATTGCTGTTCAAACCCAACACTTCCGGATCAGCCAACCAATGATATTCGGGCCGTGGTTACAATAGGTACGTACTTTTAAATATAGATATGCGATAGAGTTACTTGATCACGATACCGGTTTAGCATTTGAAAAATGTCAAGAAATCATGTTTATAAGATTAAGTGAACCACGCTGTTTTATCAGTCTTTTCTTTGTTCCCGTCCACTAATTTTAGTAACTAGATAAACATAGAAATACATAGTTTCTCTAGATCACTGGAATCATGCTTGTTCCATATATGAGACACATGTTTTGTACAGCCAGAAACAGCTTAGATTCAGAAAAACCTTCAGAAGAAGACGTATGAAATATTGAACAAAATATGAATTTGGATAGGGCAGGGAATGCAAATGGCGACAAGACAAGAAAGGACATTAACTACATTCCCCGTGAGCAAGCGATGACATCAGGGCCACCCACAACATGGCTGCGACATGAGGCATTTTTCTCCACAATGTCCCCCCTATCTAAACACGGATCTATATGGTTTCGTCGAGATAACCAATCATAAGAGAACATCCAGGATCCGAGGGCTAATTCAATAAATCTAAAATTAAAATGACTTGTTCTGACAATAAGGGCGTTCTGCATGTCCGACGTACTTTACCGGATCCGACTTAACATAGAGCGACATGAAACTGGTCGTGTACGGTCCATGAGATACTGCAATCGAGAGGATAGTAAAAATGTTGCGGATCGGACATGGAATATAACAGCCCTTAGGAAATTTAAATTTGCCCTTTTTACCTCTTTGTTCAATTATGGCGTCCCTTGCATTTCATATCTTATTACAACGCGAAAGCTACAATTAGATATTATTAAATAGAATATTTTTAATATTATTGTGTTGTAGATTAGGAGGTAATGCTGTTTGGCCGCCAAGAACATAGCTCGTTACCGGTGGGAGCGCCCTCATTAAGACAGACAGTAGGAGGAAATTTGATTTCAGAGCTGCCTACGTGCTCAGCTGGCAATTGTCACGTGTTTATACCCGCCTCTTCTCAAAGTTTTCCTCCATCTCTTATATTTTATCCGATAGCTGGGCCTTGTGTATGCTATGTACTAAACCGTTCTGTATATTACCTTCGTCTAATTATATTACCTTCGTCTAACTAAAAAAAACGCTCTAGGAATATTAAAATTATTATGTTTACAATCCATAACCCAAAGGAAGTTACATTTTTGATAGCTGTGAACCTTGTAATTACTTCAATTTCACATCAATTAATAAATTTGTAAAAAGCAAACTAATCAGATAAAGAGACAATTACCTTTAAAACCTATGATTTACTTTACACAATAAAAATAAACAAAATAATTTTTTCAATAAATTCTCATATTAATATATATTCATCATAACGTTAATAAATTTAGACATATTATTCATATATATGTAATAAAGTTAATATTTCCACTTAATTATTTATCATAATAGTAAGTCCATATTATAAATTTACCTTGATTCAATTTATGCTTTTCAAGTTTCAAGTTATTCTCCAAAGGGGTTTAAGAGCAAAATGGATTCAGTATAATTTCGAAAGTAGAACCCGTTCCCCTAATCAAGACAGTTTACTGGTGTTTATTAATTTTAATTATTAATTAAATTATTAAAAACTGTAATTTCTCAATAATATGCTTTTACAATTCAACCATTTTATAATTTGCTGAAAAGAGAGAAAAACAAGAGTTCGCATGCTTGTCAACCTGTTTTCATTCCAGCATAAATTTTAGTTTTATGGTCGCTTATGTTGTTATATTAACGTTATGCATTATTCATTAACTATTCCTTACAGATATTTGAAAACTAGATGGTATTCACGTAAGAAAATGGCTTCCGGTCATATTATATGTACCGCCACTCCCTCTATTATTGTACACTGTTAATTAATATTAGTTTTCAAAAAATCATTTGCCATTAGTTTTTCGCCACTTTCCAAATTATTAATTAATTTTCTTATTTCCAGAAATTTGTTGTCAAAGTAGGACATTATCTTACAAAATTCTTTCATTGTTTATATTTAGCCAATTTTTTTTTCTCCTCACCGTAAGTTAGCACATAAGCGCATCAAAAAATATGTTATTTTTCTTTTTAAATTAATTAATGGGAATTTTCTATCCTCTTTGGTAAAATTAATTTCCAAGTTCCTGTCTTTCTTCGTCATCATCAGTTTTTTTTCATATATTTTCATTTAACAATATATGCCTTCCATTTTTATCACCCATAGATTGGATTCAGCGAAATGGTAATTCATTTGCATTCTACATAAATTTCTTTGACAAATCGCGGCTTTGGTTTGAAAATTACTAAAAAATTTGGGGGGATTGAGTTTACACTCAGAACTCATTTATAAGTTAACTATATTCCAAATGAATAAATTTTAATGCAGATCCTACGCGCTCTATTCAATTCTACAACGCAGCACACCCTATATGAGAACAGGCAAGATGAATATAATTTTTTTTTCAAACGATTCAGTAATCCCTAGAACTTTCTGAAAAAGATAGTTTTAATTTAAAAAAAAAATTAAAATGCCGTAGAAACGATATCTATAGACGACATCATCGAAGCAGATGGCAGTGATGGTAAAATATCGAATATTAGAAGGAAAATTTCGACATTATTAAGTATTTTCAATCAAATTTAATTTAGGACATCGCTTCTAAAATTACTCAATATATAAAAAAAGCACCAATTTTCCTTGATGCCAAAACAAAAAAAAAAGGATCCAATGAGGGATCGTAAATATTTTTATTTATTTTAATCGTAAATTTATTTTATTTTCAGTATTATATATATTATAATTTTTTCAATTTGGTTTTTCTTTTAATATTGACGAATGTATAAGATTCTATCAAACAAGTCATTCGTCCACAGTGACGTTTACATAACTTTATTTATTTCATTAAATAAACACATTATCTTACCAAAATTTTATAAAAGAGATCAAAAGGTATTTAGTGTTTTTTGTTTTTTAATGAGTTTTAGTTTGTACAAAAAGATGTATGGGGATTGACATTTTCTGAGAGAACTGCCGATAGTGAAATGTTTTTAACAATGCAACGAACGCAATTTGTGTTGAATAGAAGCAACATTAAAGAATTCTCTTATTTAATCATCAAAAATTAGAACCGTAGAACTTATCAGATCATGAGTTAAAAAATTTTCATAAAATTTCAAACGACTAAGAAACAAAAGCTAAAGTGGTTAGGCATACAGAAAAGTAAATTACGTTATAGGGACAGATTATGCTGACGTTACCTTAGGGGGAAGTGTGTGGAGGTACACAGAGCTAGCTACACCTCTATCTAATAAATTTCAATATTCATGGAAGGCTTGAAACTAAGCCTGCAAAGATCCATTTTACATAAACCTATTATAATCTAACGATATTTACTCCACTTCTACAAGACAACCTTCTTCATCTTGCGGTGAATCTGATACAGCATCCTTATTCCATGCATTGTTCAAAGCTTGAGTGGAATATCATAAGTCGATGTTTAAAGGTGGCATTTATAAAAGAAATAAAAAATATAATAAGCTCATTATGTTCATTTAATAAAGAAAACCAAGGCTAGATTATTTTGACTTACGGATCGGACATTGTATACATTTTACAAATTTCACATATTCATGAATGATTAAAATCACAGCACGAATAAAATTAATTATTCAATAATACTTTTTTTTTTTATCGGACCTATCACTAGTGCTACCCAAAATCAGTCTCCAAAAAACGCCAAGTTGTGAATAACAATTAAGACAAAATAGTTACTAATACTTGATTTCAGTTAATATATGAAAAGAATTTGTAGAACTGATATACCTTTGTATTCAACTCTTTCAATTTTTAACTCGGAGTTTAGTTAGGTTTCCCCATTCTGAAAAATGACGGTAATATCTGTTTAGTTTGAGGTTATAACAATTTTATAGCAAAGTTATAACAAATTATATAGGTTATAAAAAAGTTATCAAGTTCCTAGATAATTAAAGAATTAAACAACATATATGACAAGTTTATAAATTATGATCCTTTGCAAATTTATTATTATTTTTTATTCTATTTTTTAAAAATTTATTTACTCTATTTCATTTTATTTTTTTATTAATAGTTCATTTGGTTATTAATTTCAATTCATTTATTAATTTTATTTCTATTTTCTTAAAGTTTATTTATTTATCTATTCTACCTTATTATCTATAAGTGTCGATTTTTATTTTTATTTATTTATTTTATTCTATCAATCCTTTTATTTAGTTATTTTTATGCTTATTTTTTGTACCAACCATCCAAACATTATAAAAGTAGTGTTATTTAATTGATCGGGCTGTGATAAATTTTTCACCCGTTTATATTGCTTTAGTTGCTCAAAGAGCCATGCTTTTCCCAGCACACACTTGGAGAGACAAGTCTGGTTCGGAGTTCCCTCACCAAATTGTAAATATTGTATATAGGTATGTATGTGTTCATTTTATTTATTTATTTTTTAGGTCATTTTATTCTTATTTATTGTATATATGTTATTTTTCTGTATAATTTATTTTATTTACTGTACATAGAGTGTGAATGTGATCTGTTAACACTATTATAAATGTCCTTGAGACAGATTGCAATATTTTTCAATAAAAAAAAAAAAAAAAAGTTGCTCAAAGAAATCGAACTGTGAATCGTAAAAATGATTTCTCTGACCGATTATCAGGAAAATATTCAACACTGTTATTTGTAATGAACATACATAAAATTGAAAAAAAAAATGTTTTATTTCGGTTTTAAAGTCATGTGAGTGGACACACCAGATTTTATATTTTAAAAATAGGCGTTAGAGTTCAACCAACGGGTAGTTTCCCAACAAGCGTTTTCATGTGATGTTATTATTACCGTGTTCACATTTACTGGATGTATTTTTCAAATTTATACAGTTGTAAATCTCATGAATAAATAAAAAAAAAATATATTAGGTGACATTGTATAGATTGTGTTTATTCAACAACTCTTCCATTCCAATGTGGCGGCCTATCACTATCTTCCTTGAGAATGCCTTGTCAAGTTAATGTTTTTTAAATTGGTTGGATTTTACTATGTTTGTGTCAATAAAACATCTACATGTACCTATTCTGTAGCGTTTTTTAAAGATTTAAAGTAACATATTTAATAGATAGCAATAATCTGATAGGTAACTGCAAGACACTTGCGAGACTCTTACGCAAGACCAATACCAAGACTGAGTGCGCAAGACTAAGATTCATCTTATAATTCGTACCTATCACTTGTGAAAGTGGCAATAAACAAATCTACTGGCGACCAATGACAAGCAAATTTTCTTTCGGACATTGGGAAGGATAGAATCTAGTAGCAGCGCTATCTGGTATATATTTAAAATATTAATTCAGGAAGGATTTTTCGTCGCAAACCAACGACTTCCTGTCCGACAGTTTCCTTTAACAATACTCCACTTATCCCTGTTGAGCGAATCCGATACCTAGGACTCCACCTGGACCAACGACTAGCTTGGAATCCTCATACTAGACTGAAACGACAAGAAACCGCTCGACGTTTCCGATTACTTCAGAACTTACTAGACAAACGCTCTAAACTTCCCATTAATTACAAAAGACTCATATACTTGACTATAATA